AATAATTCTCAGTATTTGATTACTATCAATATTTAACAGTGATTTTATTATTAGTATTCACCAGAAATTAAGTACTGGCCAAAAAATTACTGAATACTGGTAATATTTAGTCACTAATAATTTTTCAGTATTTCTTAGTATGATATTTCTATAAGGGATAACAACGCAACTGTACAGCAACATTGCAATGCAATAGATATGTAATATTATTAATATGTTTTATTATACAAAGTAAAATCCCAGATAACACTCTTACAGGAATATTATACTAATAAATACTAAAAAATTATTAGTGATTATGTATTACTAGTAATTCAGTAATTTTTTCGTTAGTACTTAATTTCTGGTGAATATTGATAATAAAATCACTATTAAATATTGATAGTAATCAAATACTGAGAATTATTGTGCGAATGTGAAAAATGAGAAAATCACAATATTTATGAAAATATATTTATAATTCCTAATTTTCTTATGTCTCATAAATTACTAGGTATCGAGGATTGTCAATATGCACTCCAAACTTTCGTGAAATTTTTCCTCGATAATTTCGATCTCAAGCGGTTATACTACCACCGGTCACCCATCCATGTTCAGGGTAGCGATCATGTAACTTTTCCCCTAAAGCGGAAAAGTGAAAAGTTTCACGTGAACTCGTGATCACTAAACTCGATGAAGCATAGAAATGTGAAACTTTTCACGTGAACTTCCCACATAGCACAAAAGTCAACGTTATTATTGTTAGAATGTTGCCAGAATATTTGCAGTAAGTTATATTTTATTGAATGTTAATGTAATGTTATATTAATATCCAATATTATAGAGTAGCAATGTTAATATTACTAAAATATTGGGGTAACGTAGCAAAATGGTTACATTTTTGTAATAGCAATATCATATTGCAGTAATGTACCAAATGTATGTATGAAAATTTAACGTGAAAGCAACATGTTGTACCCCAGCAAACACAATGGCTGCATTCAGCAGACTCAACAGTTGCACAACAGTTGAGTAATTTGTCAATGTAATTGGTCTAGATTTAGGGATCTAATAGCAAGAACCAATAATCGTTGATTGCTCACTGAGCGCTTTTTCTACTGAATGCGCCCAATGTTACATGTAACGTACATGTTAGTTGTAATTTCCTACTCAACAATATAATTGTTATATAACATGCGTGCTATGTAACAGTTATATTGTTGAATAGGAAATTACAACTAACATGTACGTTACATGTGACATTGTGTTTGCTGGGACTATATTGATGTAACATTGCCTGCTAAGATTGTATTGATTTTGAATGCATATATAAATATAATATTTTCATATAATGAAATTTATATCATGCGCATTATTCGAGAATGCGCAGAGAAGACACATACGAAGATCGAAGTTAAAACATAAAAAAAATTCATGCTGAGCCGCTTGGTTTATGTTGCTTATTTCTATAAGTTTTGTAAGTATCACATAATTATTTCCATTTTTTTTCATGCTTGTGATGTTTATTGTACCTACAAAAAATACAAAATTGTTTCATGATACTATGGTTCATCTAATTCCAGTTACATAATGAATATAGAATACTACCATTCAACGATGCATGTATCTCTTCCCACAGTTTTTTTCTTACTTGCATACTTCGTTCAGTAAGAGATTTCAAGTCTGAAATTCCATAACGGGGAACGCTTGTAAATTTCTTTAATTAGCTGTTCCTCTTCTAAAATTTTCTTGTTTTGCCAATTACTCTTGGCTTCTTGGTTTGGGAGCTGCGTTGTATCTATTACGATCGCTTCCTCATCATCTATTAAACTTTTATGCAATATTTGTCCATCATCTGCACATTATTAATCGATGTTACTTATTGTTATGTTATAAAATGAAAAAAATTTTGTTAATACTCACCGCTTTGAGGGTAAAAATATAAATTGTCGTCCATATAACATTTCTCTCAGTAAGCAAATTGAGCGCAGACTGCGCGCGAATTGGCAGCAAATTTGATAAAAAATTTACACCAAAACCATAGCCATCTGTGTCCTCATTCAGCTACGGTTTTGGCGACAGAGCTTGCTGTCGGGCAATTGCTGCAGATTTCCAGCAAAAACCGCGCAGAGCCTACAGCGCAGCATGGTTTACGCGGTTTCTGCCGCAAATCTGCCGTCAGATTGCTACAAATTCTGCATGATTTTTGCTGCAAATCTGCAGCAATTATTCGACAACAGGCTCTGTAGCATATCTGGCAACAGTTTGGCAGCAAGATTTGATATAACAGATCTTGCATCAAATTTGTTATCTATTTGCCATCAAAAATTGGTAGCCAGTTCTGCTCGAAATCTGTTCGCGCAGGTTTGGCTATCTGGGTCTTATATCCCTCTAAACAAGGGTGAGAACTTATCTCTTCTTGACAAATAGTCTCACACACACCACAGGTATATGATCTCATTAGAATACCCTACAATATAGCAAATTAATTAATTTAATATAAATAAATAAGATACAAAAAGTAGCCTATAGGTTATAACCTATATAAATATGCTAACCATATATAATATATACTAACTTCGTTTATATTATCGGGCGCTGTCAATTTATCAGTCCTTTCAGCCATAATTTCTTATTATAATGTTTTTATTATAATTTGCTGTTTTTTTATGGCTTATTTTATTCACTTAATTAACTACAATCACTTGATTCAGTAAAATCGCTAGAAGTTGAACTGTATCGAACTTTGAACGTTTATCTGCTTCATTCGTCTTTTTAGCGATAATTAATGGAGTGGTGGTAAACGCCAGCTTTTATTCGCTAAAAGTTGGACTGCGTCGAACTTTGAATGTTTATTCGCTACATTCGCCATTTCGGTGAAAATTGATGGAGTGGGGTGAAACGCCAGCTTTTATTCGCTGCGTGAAATCGCACCTTAATGTTTTTTATGCATTTTTTGTTATTGATACAACTTGTGTTAGACTATATAGATATAATAGAGAATATTATGAAATAAAAGAATATTTAGGTTTTGCGCAAAATTACTTAAACACATTTCAATTTTACATACAAACATTTTACAATTTTACATATAAACCATAAGATAAATATATATGATTATGGTACATTTTAATATATTACGAATAATATATATGTAATAATATAACAAAAATTAATAATAATTTATTTTATTTTTATTAGTATATAATTAAAATTTTTTCATTAATATTATCAATAATATATTGTTCAATGTACCTCAAATATTGTTGCAACGTTGCAAAATATTGTAGTTTTTTGTTCGACATATATTCAACTTTGCAACAATATTTACCCAGATAGCCAAATCTGCTCAAGCAAATTTTGCCCAACACTTGACTAATAAATTTTGTTGCCAAAATGTCATCAAATTGGACACAACATCTGCTAAATCAAAGGTTGCTGACAAATTGACGCCAAATACCGAGCAAGGTTTATGCGGCGTAGTTTGATGTCAAATTGATGCTAAATACCGAACAAAGCTTGGTGAAATCTAACGCCAAATTGACTCCAAATACCGACTAAGGTTTGTGCGGTGCAGTTTGGCGCCATACTTTGCTCGATATTTGGCAACAATTTGGCGCCAGATTTTGTCATCAAGCTTTGCTAACAAAACCCAAGCATATTGCGGACGCAAATGACATCGGATTTGCCGTCAAGTTTTGGCCAAATTTGGTGTCAATTTGGCGACAATTTGGTACCAAATTGTTTGCTGGGTAGTAATCAATGTGGAAAAATCAACATATATTCTATGTAGAAAAAACATCCGTACTTCTATCTTCAACGTTGCAACATCTCATCAACGTTTTTTCAACGTTCTGTGCTGTATGGGGTGCCACTATCAACATTAATAGTGTCACTATTAGCACTAATAGTGACACTACTAGTATTGCTAATAAAACTATTAGTGACACTATTACCATTAATAGTATTTTTTTGTAAGGGAAGAATATATTTAAATCCTGATAATTTGCAAAATAAGATTTAAAAAATTTTTTATTTCATATGTATAACGTAATATTTACTGCTTATTTCAAATACATTTCCTTTTAATTATGATATAATTATCTTAAAGGTGTAGAATTTAGTTTTTTTTTTATTTATAAACAACTAATTTTTTAGTTCTTATATAAACGAGCAAGTGTGTGTTCGTTGGAATTAAAATCATAGACAGAACGAAGCCCGTTTTTCTGCACAATTTCGCTCAGTTCTTTATTAAAGTTTTGCAAATCCTCTTTATGTAATTCTGTCATATATTTGCGCAACTCCACAATGATTGATGCATCTGTCGAAGCCAGTGGTACCAAATTTTCTAATTGTTTTGTCATATTATGTGCTACCCAAATTAGATGAAACTTCTTTACATATTCACACTTAGATTTGAGTAATTCCAATGATGATGCAGAGTGAAAAATTATCTACAAAGCAAATCACATTGCTTATACATGTGAAATATTCTTATTCCCTTATTGAAAAATATAAAATACCTTGTGATTTGGTATTTCAATCCAAGAAATCTTTTCTTTATCTGTTTTATCGTTGGCATTTGTCCACGATTCCAGTTCCATTTCGATGTCTGGCATCTCAGTCACTATAGTGCCATTTAAAATTGAGGGATCTCTATGAGCACCAATATAATCTTCACATAATGGTTCCTTCGTTTTTATCTCGTAAATAGTTCGCATTAATTCTCCTTCAGCTATATCAGTTGCCCTAAACCTTTAAGAGACAAATATATTTTAAACATTAAAAATGCGGAAGTATTATTATTGAAAAATGCTTTACATTTTATCTTTCCTCTCATTTGCAGCCCAAGTAAAAAATGGACCGTTTACAATGTCTCCAAGGTATGTATAATGCAAAAATCCAGATCCATATTGTATTATATTGTTTAATAGGGTCGGATTACTTCGGACTGGTTCACCTTCAAGCCATGTAAACGCAACTCCGTTATTTCTCCAAAACCTGATTAATCGCAGTAATTATTTAATATATATTTGTATATCACTATGAATATTTATAATGTTTAATAGATTCTGACATTGAAATTAGAATTTCACTGAAAATAACGTAATTCGATATCATTTGACCATATATTTTTATTCAGTTTCTATTGTGCTTACCTATATTCTTGTATAGTCAAATTAAAAATGCCTTTAGGCTTTAAGACCATATAGTAGTCCCAATCGAAAACACCTTCTCTGTAGTCATATCTTGTTTTTAATGATTTCCTAATTCTACGGTCCCAGTAGTTTATAATAGGGACTCCTTCTCGCGTTGCACGTGTCCAAAACCTTAAGAAATATATTACATAAATTCTTGTTCGTTAAATATTTCTGTCATATGAAATCGAATTTATATCATGTAATATGAATTTATGTATGTATATAATCAATTGGAACCAAGAAAAGCCAGTAAGAACCGCATTATGTCAATTTCGTATTCACTTATCTATAAACAAAATAAGAAATTGAGTATCAAATTCTTTCAAATTACTCAACCATTTTGGTTGTCATTCCAACTTTTTTTAATAAAAACATCTCGGAAAAAATAATATTTAGACACAAGAATTATTTGATTATAGATTTATCTCTCATGTAAAATACCAGAATAGTCATCAGTTATTTTTTCGTTAATTGTACAGTGTGTCCCAAAAGTCCTGCAACCCCTAAATATTTTGAAAAATACGCATTTTCGAAAAAAATGCTTAATACAAAAGTTGTAGAGTCTAAAAAAATGTATTTACTGATATTGACTGTACTGAAATGTATTTACTGATATGTACTAATCTTATCAGTTTGATCTTGGGTGGCGCCGCCAAAGTCAGGTCGAGGTCAACTTTACTTTTTTGAATAGAAACATGTATTTTTTTTTATTACGGAATTTTATTTTATGTAAAAAAGTAATCAACTTTTATTTGAAAACAATTTTTATACCACCTCTATTTTTTTAAATATTTACGGAAATATCTACAAAATTATTGGATTCAATAATTTTTTACTCGAATTCTATTAACTTTACCGAAAAATAGCAAGAGATAAAAATTATTTATTTTCTTCTCATAGAGCTCTGAAAAATTTTTCAGAATTTTATATAAACTTTTTAGTATTAAAAGAAAATACAAAAATGTAGTTAATTAGAAAGTTAATTAGAAAATTCTAAAAAAAATTCTCAGAGCTCTATGAGAAGAAAATAAATAATTTTTATCTCTTATTATTTTTCGGTAAAGTTGGTAAAATTCGAGTAAAAAATTATTTAAACCAATAATTTTGTAGATATTTCCGTAAATATCTTAGAAAATAGAGATCGTATAAAAAAGTTTTTCAAACAAAACTTGTTTATTTCTTTACGTAAAATAAAATTCCGTAATAAAAAATACATGTTTCTATTTAAAAAAGCAAAGTTGATCTCGATCTGACCTTAGCGGCGCCACCCAAGATCAAACTGATAAGATCAGTAAATACATTTTTTAGACTCTACAACTTTTGTATTAAGTATTTTTTTTCGAAAATACGCATTTTTTTAAATATTTAGGTTTGCAAGACTTTTGGGATACACTGTATATCTAATGACGAATTCAATTGAATGCACTAGGATGCACTGAGTGCACACTAAAGCTTGTTCATAATCTGTTCTTATATTTAAGGTCGTCTTAAGTATATCTTCAAATACTTTTAGCCAATAAAACGACTTGTACGGATGTTGTACAGATTATTTTACTGGTAGAAGTATTTAAAGATGTATTTAAAACAATCTTTAAGTATAAGAACAAACTGTGAACAAGCCTTAGTGCACACTCTGTGCATATTAGTGCATCCAATCGAATTCGCTATAAGAGCATTAATAATTTTAATAATTTTTTTCTTTAGTACATATAAAAAAATATACCTATATAAATAAAAAAACATATATATATATATATATATATATATATATATATATATATATATGTATGTATATAACTTACATGTATGTTTGAAATCACTTGTTATTTATTTTACTTTTACTTATTAACTTACTTAAAAATGCACTCTAAATTATCTCTCTCCTTGTATTTGAACTTTTCTAATGATAACCATGGACAGTCAATGGTGCAAGTTGAAATATCTACCAGTTGTTTGGTGCACTTTGCTAAATACTTTGCTGTGGCTGGTCTAAGAAGAGTATTGCCTAAAATCTCTAAGTAATACCGCGTTGCTTCCTGTAATCCTTGTTATCCCTTTATCATGTAATGTTTATTCCTTTCTAATATCAAAGCCATAACATAACTACATCCCAGGTAGAACAGGCAGCCAAAATAATGTCAATTTGACGTCATTTTGACCAAATATTGACCAAATTTACGTCATTTTTTGTTGAAAATGACGTTAGATTGACATTATTTTGACTATCTGTTCTATCTGGGATGTCTATAAATACATACCCAAGTCTTTTTGTAAACAGATATTCAATAAGAGTATCGATCTAGCAACTTGTTCCAAGGTTGGTTCGATAACGTGATATGTAATTATTCGATCGGAATGCACGTAAGACGATGCTAGCGTTTTAACAATATGCCGTGCATCACCAGCACCTACAATAAGTACTTCAAGATTGCTTGAAACCTGATCGTCTCTTTGAGTTATTTCATTTTGTAAATCTAATGGCTCACTATATCCCCACCACATGTTACGTCTCGTTAATATGCTGAACTTTGTGAAATTCACACTTTGTAAAAACGTTATGTGACTGCTACCTGCTATCAAGTTGCTATTGATCACGTTACCAAGTATGGTTAACATACTGTTATCTCCATGACAACATCACGATAAACGAAAAGTACTTATTTAGCTACATTTAATGTTGCCAGAATATACAGGATGTTAAAAAAAAAGTATTCATATAAACTTACAAGATAGGTAGTATTCATTATACTGGCAAGGAAACCTATACAAGTGTCCGCCTCCGATTTTTATGAACTTGTAATATGTTGTACTTTAGATCAAAATAATAGATACGTTTTTATTATATGTGCCCTTTCGCAAGTTTAGGGGGTAAAATATCCCTTCAAAGAAAATCGGTTTTTTTCATTCTAAGGGAATATAATGAAAACTAATAAGAGACAGAAAAAAATATTTTGAATAAAACTTGAATGTTTGCAGAGTACTTTATAGAAATTATTTGAAAAAGAAAAAAAAATTTTTTGATTAATATTTCCCCCACCACTTCTTATTATAATTATTAAAATAATTTCTGTAAAGTACTCTTCAAACTATTCAACTTTTATTCAAAATATTTTTTCAATCTCTCATAGTTTTCATTATATTCTCTTCGAATAAAAAAAACCGATTTTCTTCAAAGGGGTATTTCTAAACTTGCGAAAGGGTACATATAATAAAAAAACGTATCTGTTATTTTGATCTAAAGTACAACTTCTTCAAAGGGGTATTTCACCCCCTAAACTTACGAAAGGGTACATATAATAAAAAAACATATCTGTTATTTTTATCTAAAGTACACGCACTGGTGTTAATGCCGTCCATATATTCATGTGACTCGCACACGATGACGTGTCACTCACACACTGCTGCCTGTAAGTGAGGCACGAGCAGCACAGAATAGCGGAAGGAGCTAGTGGTATACGATCGTCGGATGGCTTGGAGAGGGAATAGTGATGGGAGTCGCGGCGATCTTCCATCTTTTATCGCAGACGTAAAAGCGAGAGAGATAGCATTATGAGATGCCAGAAATGCTGTCCTAAAATATATGTGACGCATACTAATAGCATGTTCGACTGGCCTTGGGTAAATCGCTCCGAGAGCGATTATTGACGTCATAAGTCTCTACTAGCCAATCATAAAGCTTATAAGTACTTGTTCGACGAATAAACGTAGGCTAAATGACTCAGAGTAGATTAATCCAGAGCCATGCTATAAGAAAACGAACATACTATAAGAAAACGCTCGCTTTACATTATCTTGTCTATACGCTCGCTTTACATTATCTTGTCTATACGCTTTACATTATCTTGGAATATGTGGTGACTCGCTCGAACGTCTATGCATTTTTTCTTGTTAGCAAAAAAATTACTGTAATATGAAAAGAAATCTTGAGGTTGAGTTTTCAGGAGATTATGCAATATTAAAATTAAAAATACTTCGACAAGCTATACAAACGCTGTATTGCTGCAGTATTCTATACTGATGCAGTATTCTATATTAAAATAAATATATATTTTTTTTTCAATAGCAGCTATTAAGAAGTACTTGTCGAAGCCTCCTGAAAATCCTTTCCCAAGATCTGCTTTTACATTACAGTAATTTCCTTGCTAATAAGAAAAAATGCATGGATGTTCGAGCGAGTCATTGGGACACCGCGTATTCCTCACGTATAAACGAGACAGTTGTAACCGCGATTCGTTGCGGGTTCGAATCGCTTGTCGGATCGGGTTCGTGATGGGCGGAATAATTGAGAAACAGTGTTTTAAGAAAATAATAATGAATAATATATTTAAATACTAAGCTGACGATAATGACAATGTACAGATCGAACAATACGTGTCGACGCCTTTGGTTTTGGTTGTTTGTATCGCCTGACAGAGGTTTGTTTAGACGCCGGTTTGTGTGATGTGACGCGCGGTGCGCGGGACGCGGACGACGTCAGTGTCGCGTCTTCACGAGTCTATTCTGTTGACGTTTCTTTCGGCGTCGTGTCTCTTAAGTACGGTGGACACTTTTTCCAGCGATTTTAGCGGCGTGTCGGAATCGTATGATGTCGCGGTCGTTGAGATTACAGCGTAACTGCACGCGGGATATCGCCTTAGCGGTGCTCCCTTCGATCTCCTATCGCGGAGATTTGAATCGGTTCGGTGTATGCGGTGCGGCCGTCGGTCCTCGTACACGGGACCTTAGCTCTCGGAGTTTCCTCTATGATTCAACGAGCTCGGCTCGTTCGGACGCAATTTCGGATGCGGCCAGCGGTGCTATGAAACTTATCTGTGTCGGCCTCACGAATCCGTGAGCCGACGGCGGAATGATTACAGTCGCCACGCGACGAACAGTAATCTGCCAGGAGCGG